TAACGCCCCCACGACTGAAGGGGAGAGCATGTTTAGTGTGACAGGGATTCGAGCCCGCGACCCTCAGATTGCGAGTCGAGCGCGCTAACCACCTGGCCATGCCGGGTCAGGCTGAAAATGAAAGAAACGCAGTTTCCTGATCATCGCAATAACAGAGAACAATAATGATATTTGTCACCGTTAATGAAGAAAACGAGGATCAGTGTCTAAGGAGAAAATAAAAACAATTTAGTAGCAAATAATAAATAAATAAAACTTAAAACAAATACTGGCATTGGTACGTGCTGTAAACAGAGATGGCATACATAAAAGTGAGTGGAAGTAATGAAAAATGAAGTGATGTATGAATGGAAATAAAATTATGCTTGAAAGTAAATCAGAGCTTTTTGAAAATAAGAAAGTAGACTGCACGTTCAGCAGTAACACAGTATTGACTGCATTAGACAATTCTGTAGAGTGAGGACAAGACTTAGACACCAATTCTTAGCTTTTTCGAAAGCGGAAGTAATCTCTCCAAAAAGCAATAAAAATGTCTTCGTAACTCACAATTTCCTTAGTTCACCAATCACAAAACGAAATTTTAAGAATTTAGTGGTGCTTCCTACGTTATGTAATAGCAATGAAATATCCTCACAGTATCTCTATCACCCTTGACTAAATCCTGCTTCCAGTGTAACACCTACACTGAGTGGTCACAAGTAAATAGACACCTAATTTTTCGTCATTTAACTGATTTATGCTAACTAATTTGTGTTCACAGAGCACTATATAAATGAAAATGGTCCGCACACCAATTATCATGTGCTAAAACATGCCGAGAACTGAAGGTTTTCTCGAATTGTCAGATTTTGTTATAGGAAGGATAATTGGTCAAGCAGATGGTAGAATAAGTCAGCGGCAAATTTTGCAGAATTTGATATTCCCGCTTTCGACAGTCAACAGAATCATCGTGCTGTTCAGGAAACACGGCAAGGAAACAACTGAGCAGCGTCCGGGTCGTCCTGGTTCATCGGAGAGGACAAAAAGGGCTGTCAAGAGGAGCATTGAAATGGATCCCAGATTAACGACTGCAGAAGTGGCCAAAGTTGGTGGGATGAGCCCGAAATCTGTTCAACGGATTCTCCCCAGATTGGATTATCGTTGCAGAACAGCTAGACGGAAGCCCTTATTAAGACCTACCAACATGGTTGACGAAAGAAGTGGGCAAGTATATGATGACCAAGCCTCTGGACTTTTCAAAGACCGTATTGTTCTCAGACGAATCAAGATTCGCTCAATTTTTGAAAAGTGGAAGGATATGGGTCTGGAGAATGCCTCATCAAGAGTTTTGGTTTAACAGATTGCAGCCAACTGTGAAGTATGGTGGTTTCAGCGTGATGGTTTGGGGAGCTGTTTGGGTTGGTGGGAGATCGAGCTTAGTGAAGTGCTTTGGCAACATAAATTTTGCGAAATACGTCGAAGTATTGGAGGAAGGACTCTTGCCACTTTATTCCTCGGGTTTCGTGGACAAGAACACAACGTTGTTCCAGGAAGATGGAGTACCGTGTCACACTGCTAGAAACACCCAAAAGTGGCTAGAAGAAAATGGTATCCAGAAGTTGCCCTGGCCGAGTAGATCTCCTGACATGTATCCCATCGAAAACCTTTGGGCCATACTCGACCGGCAAGTCAAGAAACAACCAAAAAAACCAATTTCGAAGAGTGATCTACTCCAAATTTTGAAGCAAGAGTGGGCGAAAATCCCACAATCTAAAATTGACAAGATGATTCCCACGATGCCCAAAGGATCAACAAACTCCACGAAGCGAAAGGATGATCTACTAGATATTAATTAAATCATAAATATATCAATTCATGTGAATATGACTGAAAATTTAAAATTTTTTTCTGAAAAGGTGGTGTCTATTTACTTGTGACCACGCTGTGTATGTCTAATAGCACACTTCACTTAGTCGGTTCTAATCTGAAACTCTCGGAAAAAAATACAATGTTTATTACAATATTAAGCACATAGCGTCACGAGAGTGGGATCTATACTATCTGCATGTTACAATCTTTTTTTCCTTTACTTTGGACTTGTTTCAAGCCGATTTATTTTGAATTTTACAACAATCTGAATTAAAGTGTGGTTAGTTTAACTTCAATGAAACACTGTGTCCTTGATTTTACCTGATACCGACGTTACAGAACAGTAAACAAAGGGAGTTGCACAACATTGATATTGTTACGACAGCGGAAGTCACGTGACGCTGGTAACACGTGATGAGTTTCTAGAAGATTCACGAAGAGACGAGATGTTCGCTTTTTGTGTATATAAGACCGGTAAGAAGTGACGGCAACAATGGAATTGAATTGCAGACAGAGATAGAGACGGACAATTGATTCAAGCGCGTGAATCGTTTGTTGTGAATTATAGCGTTTATTTAAGTTAAACTGACTGTGGGAATTAAGTGTATTGCAAAGTTGTATTGAGAAAGAATAAACCAGTTTTATTTAAGGGTGGACTTGTATACCTGAAGTTTTTCGGAAAGAATTTCTACGCAAATTAGCAAACGAACACAGAGACGAAACAAATTGGTGTCAGAGAGTGGGACAAAAAGAAGAAGATGGAAACGAGAAGTGGCAAATCAAACTACAGCTTAGCAGATTTGATAGCAGCAATACAAGAACAGCAAAAGAAACAAGAAGAACGAGAAAAGAAATAAGAAGAGAGACTACAGCAGTTGTTGGAGGAAAAAGAAAATAAACAAGAAGATAAATTACAGCAGTTGTTGGAGGAAAAAGAAAAGAAACATGAAAAGAAATTACAGCAGTTGTTGAAGGAAAAAGAAAAGAAACAAGAAGAACGAGAAAATAAACAAGAAGAGAGATTACAGCAGTGGCAACTGGAACAAAAAAGGAAACAGGAAGAAAGTCTCCAACAGTTGCAGGAAAGTCAGCAGCATCTACAGGAAAGTCAACAATAGTGGCAAGAAGTACAAATGGAAAACATTAGCAAATTTCAAAGTGAATTAAATACATTAAAGGATGATTTACTGTCTTTTACACAAGAAGGATATATTAGCCATCGACCTAATCAGCCTCAGACAACTGGAAGCCCCTTCCAGACCCCGCAGCTAAACCCTTATGCAGACATCTTCAGTCCTGTTAGAAGTCACATCCCAGATATGAATGTCAGCAATATGGATGGTCTAGTACGAAGGAAGCCACAGGAATTCGATGGGAAGGCACAGTGGGAAGCATATAGAGCACAATTTGAGCTACTGGCAGAAATGATTGGATGGACAGTGGAACAGAAAGCAGTATATCTGGCAACGAGCTTGAAGGGACAACCACTGGAAATACTTGGACAGTTGTCAGCAGAGGAGAGGCACAACTATAGAGCACTGGTAGCGGCTCCAGAACTCAGGTATGAAACTCAAAATCAGTCCGAAGTCTACAGGGCAAGGTTTAGGACGAGAGTCTGTGCTTAAGGAAAGAGCCTGCCAGAGCTGTCACAGGACTTGGAAAGTATGGCACACAAGGCCTACCCAACTGCGCCACCCGATCTCCTCAAGTTGTTGCAGAGGGATCAGTTTGTAGATGCTTTAGACAGTCCACAACTAAAGATACAAGTAAAGCAAGCACACCCCTACTATGCAGGATGCAATGGCCAGAGCTCTTGAATTTGAATCCTACGTTAAGTTCAGCACAGAGGTAACAAGGTTGGTACAGTCATCAGGATTCAAGGTCAGAAAAGGTCAGCTTTCAGAGAAGTTTGAAGGACTTTGCTGGTACTGTAATAAACCTGGGCACAATAGAGCTCAATGCTGGCAACTTCAACACAGGAGAGATGCCACATCAGGAAAGGCTGCTATCCAGAAAGGTTGTTGGAACTGTGGGGAGCAAGGACATATGAGGAGCCAGTGTAAGAATAATACAACTAATAAGTCAGCTTCTGGAAACCAGTGGTGTTTGGTGCTGAGGGACGCCCACCAACCCCCATCGTGAAAGTCTCAACAGCTAAGTGTAAAATGGCAAGCACACATAGTGTCTACATGACAGGAAAGCTGGATGGCCAAAGGAGGAACTTTGTCATAGATTCTGCATCTCGGGAAACCCTTGTGAGTATCAAGGTGCTGGATCACAAAGGAGTACCAGAAGCTGTACAGAAGCTCTGTGGTGTGACAGTACATTATGCAAGGTTGTGGGGACCAGTGTGGGTAACATTTGAGCTCATGGGCATGAAGAACAGACAGAAAGTATACTTGGCTGACATTGAAGACCAATGCATACGAGGAATGGACTATTTACTGCCGAGGAAGTGTGTAGTTAACTTCGATAAAATGACGATTGGAAACAACAAAGGCCAGATTCCAGTAAGTGTTGCTGCATCCATTGATTTGCATGTCACAGCACTTAAGTTAACTACAATACCCCCTATGTTAGAGAAGATAATATGGGGTAGGATAAAAGAACATCCCTAAGGAAGCCCAATGCTTGTGGAAGCAGTGGAAGACCCATCCAGGCCAGCGGATTTGAAGATTGGAAGGTCATTTGTGGCAGGTCATCAAGTAGTACCTATAACACTGGCCAAGTTCTCTAAATGTGAGCAGACACTTAAGGAAGGGGCATTGTTGGGTGTGTGCCAGGAGGTAGAGCCAGTCAATGTTAAAGCAAGAAGTATAACCATAAAGAAAGGACATACACTTTCAAAACATTTAATTGACCTTTATAAGAAGAGCATAGTCCATTTGGCATCATCACAGGCTCTTCAGGTAAAAGAACTTTTGGCGAATTATGCAGTCGTTTTTTCGAAAGGAGATC